GCCTCCACTGTTTTGTGGTGAATATTTTGATTTCTAGAAAATTCGCATGAAGGCTCACTTAGAAGCACAAGGAGATAAAATATGGGATGCTGTCAAAAATGGCCCCTTCGTTCCTACAACGGTCGTTAACGGTGTTGGATCAACAAAGCCCAAAGATTAATGGGATGACGATGATAAGAAAAAGGTTCTCTATGACAAAAAGGAAAACAATCTTATGCAAAGCGCACTAAGCATGGATGAATTCTTTTGCGTCTCAACATGTACATCAGCAAAGGAAATCTGGGATACTTTAGTGGAAACCCATGAGGGAACCACTGAAGTTAAGAGATCAAGATTAAACACGTTGAGTTAGGAATACGAGTTATTTAGAGTGCAGCCAGGAGAATCAATTCTTGATTTGTAGAAAAGATTCTTGCGAGATCATGTACTTCAAAGAGATGTCGAGATAACATTTATGGATACTCATAATTAGGTTGCCGATATATTCACAAAGCCTTTGGCAAAGGAATCTTTCTTCAAAATTCGAAGAGAACATGGAATTCTGGATGAAACTGACGTTGAATCATAAAATATCTTCATCTGTGGTGTTTTTTTGTTCAATTTTCACTGCCTGCAATCGATTGCACCTCTGTGTCAATCGATTGCTCACTGTAAGTTTTATAAAAATATTGAATTTTTGAAGCTTGAAATCCATTGCACCCTAGTGTCAATCGATTGCACCCTGTAGCTTTTGTTTCATTTCATTTCTGTTTTGTAGAGCAATCGACTGCACCACTATGCCAATCGATTGCACCTACTATAAATCTGTTTTTTAAATTTATTTAATAGATCCATTGGCTTTTAACCTTTCCAATTACCCTATCATTATAAATTTTGACATACCTATGACTCTCTCTTACTACCTAACCCTATTCTCAAGACTTTGACCAAAATTTCATACCTTTCCAAAGTCATAAACATCCATAACCCTCAACTACTCATATCCCACAATAACTCCTCTCTTAATCATTTTAAAACCCAACTTCTCATAACCACTCTTAATCATCTCTTCCAAAACATAACCTCTCAACAAAAAAAAACTTTTCCTTCCCTCACAAACCCTAAAACTCCATCCTTTCATCATTTTCTCATGGCTTCACATTCAAAAAGGAAGATTTTAGCACAAAGCAAAGGAAAAGGTCCAACCTCTTCATCTTCAGAGACTCCACTTGTTCTTCAGCACTTGAACAATGAACAATAAGAAAGATTTACTAAGTACTTTCAAAAGAAGGTTGTGCAAACCCCAAAGTATGGTATTCTCTCATCATTCCCTAAAGAATGTTTTTCTTTTCAAGAATCCTTGATTTCATGCGGTTTGGAATCCTTGATTTCCTCATCCGTACCATATTACCCGGATTTGGTACGATTATTCTATAGCAATTTACAAATGGAAGAAGGCAAAATGGTAACATATGTTAGAGGAAAGAGAATCCCACTTTAGTCAAAGACGCTTGGAAGGATTCTGAATATTCCAACCTCCGGTGGAAGACTCTATGAAGAAAATGAAGAAGTCTGGAATGCATACAACAAAAGAGAATTTTATTGGAGTCTTGGACGAATGACTGAAGCATAATTCCATGCAAAATGTGTCAGATCCTTAGGCGGCATGCAACCCTCTCGAACCTCATGGTCGGCGGGTATTTTCAACATTGATGATCGGCTGTTTCATTATTTTATGGTATACATAATGTTTCCAAGGGGTGGAAACCACTGCATTGTGACTGGCCTAGAAATGCAGATCTTATATACAATTAAGCATGGCATTCAAATCAGTTGGGCTTATTTAATCTTGGTTCACATGCGGGGAATCAACGAAAAATCAAAGTTTCTACCCTATGCATGGTTTATCACAAAGATTTTGGAACATTTTGAAGTAGATTTTGAAGGACTTGATAAGTATCTCATGGACTCAAATATCAACAAAATCTCTACCAAGAATGTGGACTCTCGGATGGGTGTCAAATACGACCCAGAAACAAAAACCATTGTGTACCTTGGTGAAGGTATGGCTGAGAATGATGAGCACGAGAATCAAGAAGATGATGATGTTCCTCCTTCTCCAAATGAACATGGCCCTAGTAACCAACAATCGATGGATTACATGACTCAACAGTTTGGAAATCTCAACATATCCATTAACAACCAATAAAACGCAATTCAAGAGTCGACAAACACTAGGATACAAAATTTCCAAGAGGCCGTCAATCAACAACTCTCATATCTTTACTCTCACTTATACATTCCGCCCTACGATCCTTCCAACCCGGCTGTCCCTCCAACTCGTCCATCA